AAAACAAATCCTAGAGCCATGTGGTTATATTATACCCTCTGTGATGCTCAGGTAAACATATGCAAAACCTGTTACATGGAGCATCATGTGGGTGAAAATTCTGGTTTGACACTTTTGCACATGTACACACACCTTGCCATTCATTGTCCAGGTGGGTAAACACGAAGATTCCTTCCTGTATCCCTCAGGGAAAGGCACTGAGATGCACAACTGGCTACTATTATGCTGAAGTAAAAATGTACAGTAGAAAAGTAAAGGATATGTTTGTGAAACCCAGTGTTATGCTCATAGGTTTAATATAGGCATTTATAGCTATACAGTTTTCCTTTTAAGCACTGCTGGAGCCATAGCCTATTCACTGTGCATGATGTCACTTTTATTGAGTTCACAATATTTTCTTACTCCCTTACAGTTTCTTTTTCAACCCTGTAGTTCTCTGTGTGTTATTTCCACATATTGGTGGTAGGTTGCCTAAGTACCCTGTTTGGACTTGTAACTTGCTTTTGTTGTGTTCAGAGAATACACCCATGTGGCCATGGTCCTCGTCCCTTTATCAAAGCTTGTCTCGGCCCAGCATCTTTCTCTGAAGTGTGTGTGGTGTGTGCGTGTGTGCGTGTGCACGTCAGAAGGCTCGTGCTCCACTGTGCCGATTGGCTGTCGTGGAGATACTGTTGTCTATCAGTTGTCAGCAGTGTACAGTCTCCTGTGTCTTTGCAGGTTTTCAGTCTCTTTTTTTGTTTTGTTTTTTGAGGCAGGGTCTCACTATGTAGTTCAGGCTGGCCTTGAGCTCGTTATGTAGCCCAGGCTGGCCTCGAGCTTGAGGTGATCCTCCTGCCTCAGCCTCCCGAGTGCTGGGATCACAGGCGTGCGCCACCATGCCCAGCTATTATTTCATCTTTTTTTGATAGTGGAGTAGTCAGGTCTCCAGCTTTTATTGTTGAATTGTCTATTTCTCCAGTTCTGTCCATTTTTCCTTCACAGATCTTTTTTAACGGGTTCTTTTGGCCTGTTGTTAGGGACAGTTATTACTGTAACATCTTCTGATGGACCGAGCCTTCTTTCCATGTGAAATGTCTGTTTTTCTGACCGTGTAGCTGCCTCAGCTCTCCTGCAGGGGCCATATGGGTGGCTACCATGTCCCATCCACCCTGTTCACAGGAACCTTCAGGTCTCCAAGCAACGTGCAGGTGGGTGTGGTTTTGGGCACAGTGTTGGCCATAGGTGAAGTATTGAATTTCCTAACGTTTAGGGTTAGTTTTGGATGGTTAGATCTGTGCTTGCCCTTTTGCTGTTTATTCTCACTTGCTTTTTCCCATTGTAGGAGCTCTGCCAGGAGTGGTGCCTGGCCCCTGGGCCCTCTTCCCCCAGGCCGTTGCCCAGAGCTACTTCAGTAGAAGCTCCTGGTGTCTCTAAATTCTCACTTGCGTGACTGGCACTGCCTTTTCCTGCAGACTTTTTTTTTTTATATCAGAAAGGGAATGTTTCATTCAAGTCAGTGCTCTTTTTATAATGCGTCAGATTCCTTCCCTAGGCTGCCAGGAGCTTTTTCTTGTGGTCTTCCATGTGCAGTTTAAGCTATATCTTGGAATTTTGCACACATTAGGGCAAGCCAGTAATGAGGTTCTGAACCCCCTTCACGTCGTGGGGAGAGACCATCTCGAGCTACCCCATGGCCTGAGCACCTGATAGAAATGCACTTTGCTTTTGTAGTTCCTGCTTGGCAGCCCTGCCTGTCTCCTCTGCTTGGTGTTTCCAGTGCCAGCTGTCTTGTGAACCCGCTCCTGACGTTGGCACCAGCTGTGAGCTCTGGGGACCTTGCTCAGTGCAGAAGGAAGGGCACTGGGGCAGGGAGAGCCGCCCTTGAAGACAGTGGGATCACAGCCCCTGGCAGACACAACTGGACTTGTTGTTAAATTCTCCCCTCACTTTCATGTGCAGTAAAGACCTTTTCGTTCTTGCCTTTAGCAAGTTTTTTCCTTTCAAAGTGACCTCAGGAGAAAGCTTATTTGTAGTCCACAGAATCTTCATACTTTCTAAAAGAGTTTGGTACCTGCTCCAGTGCTCATTTTGTGACTTCAGTGTTTTGCTCACCACGTCATCCTTAGTCTCTTGGCACTTTGGCCAGTGATTGGGTTAATGCCCTTTTTGTTCTCTGGTCTTGCAGTTGCTGACTTTGTTTAGACTTTCTGAGGGGAGATGATTCTAGTAGAAGTGATGTAATCATATTTGAGTGCTCTATGGCCTTTTGAGAGCTGGAGAATACCAAGTGATTAAGCTTTTTGCATAGATCCTTGAACAGTAAAATTGGAGGTTTGGTTAATCTTGTGTGTATTAGTCAGGACTCCCCAAAGAAGCACAACCAATAAGAGATATGCAGATATATAGAGAGAGATGTATTGTGAGTGATTGACCCTCATGATACGGAGGCTGGGTAGCCTTGTGTTCTGCTGTCTGTAAGCTGGAAGCCCAGGAAAGCCAATAGTGCAAGTTCCAGCCCAAATGTAAAGGCTTGAGAACCAGGGGAACTAATAGTGTCAGTACCAGTCCAAGTCCGAAGTCCCCAGTACTAGGAATACCACTGTCTGAGGGGAGCAATAGTTAGATGTCCCAACTCAGGCAGAGAGAGTGAGTCTGCCTTACTTTACCCCTTGATTCTATTAGGGCCTTCAAGGATTGGATGAAGCCCCGCCTTATTGGGGAGGGTGACCTTCTTTACTTAGTCCACTGGTTCAAATGCTAAACTCTTCTGGAAACATCCCATTCAGATATCTGGGTGCCCCGGACCCCGTCAAACAAAATTAACCATCACAAGTCCACCTCTTCCCAACCTGTCATTCACTTGTATTTCCGTAAAGCATACTTAATCTCCAAATAAAGACAGTAACACAGTTGTAGCTCCACTCAGCATGATGTAGCTATCCCGCATACAGCTGAAGTCTTTTCCTCAGGAGAGGAGATAAAGTCCTTCAGTGATGCTCATTCTTCTTGAGTGTCCTATAACTTAAATACTAAGATCTGACATTAATAATACTTAAAGCTGAAATAAAGTCAATCTCATGTTACATGATAAAGGAGTAAGAAGACAAAGACTTTTGTTTGCTATCTGTGTATGTACCCACGATGCATTCATAATGAAATGGGAGGAAGTACTCGTGACATTGTGATCCTTGTTTCTCTAACTGGTTGGGCAGTCAGAGCTGGTATTTATAAGCAGCTCCTTCTACTGCCCATCCTATGTCCTTTATCTTTAGCAAGCATCTCAGCAGGACATGGGTCTTCACCTTGTGAGGTGACCCAGGTCTTCATTCCCAAAGTTCTGGGCCATTTGTAGTCCTGCCAGTATTGGATAGTTCTAACTTCCTGTTGATCTGAATCCTAGGGCTTGGTAACACTAAGAGATGTCCTGAATTCCAGACGTCTCTTCCTTGCCTCCACTGTGGAGTTTTCTGTTTTCTGTTTGTGGTCTGGATCTGTTACCTTACCAGTACCCTAAATCCCCTCTTAGCTGATGGACTCAGCGGCCTAAAGGGCCCAGAGCAGCAAGTGGAATCTTAACCTCCAGCCCACTGGGGCTGTTGCATCTCCTGGTGAAAGCATTGCCCCTCTGGAACTAAGACCTTAGGCCAGCAGAGCGGGGTCATGGGAACAGGAAGCAGAGCCTTTGCTAGTGGGTCACTGAGGGTAATGGTGAGTGAGTCTCTCCCACTCAAAGGGTAGAAACCCTTCGATTCCTGGGCTTGTGAATCCCCGCTATAGACCAAGCACTGTATTGATTAAGAGCAGTCAGCACCTCCTGGAGAACCTTGCCCCACCCCTTCAAGGTGTTGGTGCCCAACTGATGCTGGAACAGAGCCTTCAAAAGGCCTTTCCACCATTCCATCAAAGCCAGCTGCTCAGAATGGTAGGGAAGCTGGCAAGACTGTCTTTAATCCCACCCCCTCAGGAGTCTGAAGCAGGAGAATGGCAAATTTGAGTCCAGCCTGAGCAGCTTAATGAGACCCTATCTCAACAACAACAGATTTTTAAAAGGCTGGGAATGTAAGCTTGGCATAAAGGCCCTGGTCAGCCTCCAGTACTACAAAAAAAAAATTAAGAAATAATATGGTTAATCTTGCTTGGTTTCGAATTTAAATAGGTGAGTACCGAATGCTGTGTGTTCTTATGTCCTTACTCTTCATGCACTGTTGGGTCTGTGGAGTTTATTGACATTGTGAGCAGCCATAATAAAGTTCAACACCGAATGGATATTGAAAGTAGTAGCGTGTGCGTGACGCATCGTAAAGAGCGTGACTTGTTTTGGGTCTGGATTTATAAATCCCAGGGTACTCTGCTACAGCAGTGCTCTGTGAACGTCCCTGGGTGTGTCTCACGTAGGTGGGGCTTTGTCCCCACGGGTGAAACTGCACCCCAGCTTCCCTGGATGACGCCTGCCAGCTCTCAGAGCAGTGGTGCCCTCCTGTGAGTGTCCAGGGGTGTCCTCGTGGCTGCACCTCCTCAGTCACACAGGAATTTTGTTTTCTGGCCATTCTGGCCATTGTGGAGCAGGTCCTTTCCCCGGTGACCAGAGGTTCTGCTCTGCAGGAACCAGCCTAGAGCTCAGCCTGACCAAGGGGTAATGAGGATGAAAAGTAAGGAGACACAGAATCAGGTTAAAACCTGGGGGCCAGGGGAGCTCTTGTCTCCCTCTGACGTAGAGCCCTGAGTGCCTGGCGCGCCTTGGCTTTATGCGCTCAGACACGGCCGAGCAGTTAGACTTCCACAGCACTCGTCTGTCCCCCTCGCTCCGCGGCACCTGTCTGGGTGAACACCTTAACCTCAGGTGTTGCTGCTTCTGCCTGCAGCGTGTCCGCATCCTTCTCCTCAGTGCTCACCGAGGAGCCCAGTTAGGCCTCACTCTTCCTGTCTGGCCTCCCACCCTGCTCTGCTACGGGGCTGCCCACCTCCTCCTTCCTGCTGGCGGGAGTTGCTCTATGTGAGTTTAAAATGTGCTTTTTCCGCAGGACGATGTGATGATGCCGCAGAGAGTGAGGCTGCAGCACCAGGCCGCCCAGGGGCACCCGACCAGTGTAAGTGCCACACCTGCTGGGCCGGGACTGCCTTGCTGAAGTGGCAGTGCAGCTCTTGAAGTGGGGTTTCCTTAGGGTAAAAAGAATGTGTGTCCAGAAAGGGATTGTGGTGGCAGCTCTCTAAGTAAGCATGGAGAGGTCTTCCTTGAAGAAGAGCATGCTTCTCATTTTGGACAGCACCTGTCACTTTAACGTGGCTGTGAAAGAGCTGGTTGAATAGAAGCTGAGCTCTCAACATGAAGACATCTGAGAGCTGTGGTGCCCCTCACTCAGCCAGCTTAGGCCTCCTGTTCAGAGCCATGCCTCCTGCTCATCGTCCAGGCTTCAGTGTTGTCTGACAGCCCTGATCCCTGGGAGGCTGTCTCAGCCTCTGTCCCCACACCCTGCTGTGGAGGAGGAACTGGGGCTCTCCTCACAGTTTCAGAGATTTGAATCAACACTGCAGGGTGTTCTTTCCTGTGCAGCTGCTGACCCAGGATAGGCTGTGGCCCTCTTCCCCGTGACTTGTCAGGGGAGTATCTGGGCTACGTGGGATGTCTGTTTTTGGTGTATGTGCTGTAGAGCATTGAACCAAGGGCCCTCTCACTGAGCTATATCCTCAGCCCTTTACTTTTTGTTTCTGGGAAAGAGTCTTTCTAAATTACTAAGTTGCCCAGGCTGGCCTTGAACTTGGACTCCTCCTCCTCCATCACTCCCCAGAGTGCTGGGATTATATGCGTGTGCCATTGTCCCTGGCTGGATGCTGAAGACCCTTATTCTTTGAGTTGGAATTGCTTATACTGTTTAAATATTACTAAAGCAAACACATCCTTAGAATATGCTGTAGGAAGGTAGGATGGCTACACCTGGGGACCCTTCAGCTGAGGTAGCCACATGCACAGCCCTGCAGCTGCTCTGTGGCTCTCAGGGTGGTGCCGCTGGGGATGTGGCTCTCAGGGTGGTGCCGCTGGGGATGTGTCCAGCTCAGTGCACAGCCCCTCAGGCCTCCTGCCCTGCCCTTTCCAGCCCTCCCCGCTGCCTCTGAGCCACTAGCCCCTCCCTTCAGCACACAGGTAGGTACTCAGCTTTGCAGTGGAAGCCCTCAGCCACCCGAGAACGGGGTTTCGCGACAGAAGTGTGAGCTGGCCCAGCCACAGCAGCCCGGAGGCGCTGTAGGCAGTGGTATGTGCAGGGAGTTAAAAAGCAGACAGGAAGTACAGAGAATGCAGGCCCACTTCCAGGAGCATGGGGTGGGGGGAGCCCCAGCAGCTGCCCCTGTCCTGGGTGCAGAGGTCGGGGGAGAGGCCCCAGGGGGGCTGGGGGGGCGGGTGTTCAGCCCTTTCAGGGAGGGCAGGAGGGTGCTGCAGCTTTCTGAAGATTCTGGAAAGGCTCATGTGCCCACCGAATTTAGAACCACAAGTATGTGTAAATACATGTATTCATAGCAGTCAGTGACCACAGACTCCAGAAGTTGCTTTTTTAAAGTTTGTGGGCATGGAGTATCTCATTTCTCCCCCCTTTCTGGTTGGGAAAGATGTCAGAAAACACCCCCACAGTGTCGCAATAGCAGATGCCACTGTGGGGCCACAGGACACGGTCCACACCAGGTGGTGGTGTCCCCTGGTCCTAGGGCTGGCCCACATAGCATCACTGATGACTCAGGGATTTCTACTCCAGCTCCAGAGGTTTCTCAGTCTTGCAAGAAGAGGGATGAGATGCACAAACTTTTTTTTTCTTTTTGGAGTGGGGTCTGGGCCCTTTTTTAAAAAGAGAGAAAAAAACAGAAACAAGTCCTGTTGGATGGATTTCTGTCAGTTTATATGAGGGAAAGGCAGAATCTGGGATTTCCAGAGCTCCTTGCTGTGGCTCTGATGGGTATGGTGATATTGCATGTGGAAGTCACAAGAAAGAATAGCACGGTATCAAGTGCACCCGCTTCTCAGGGTTCAGACTGTGCTTACCACAAGGAACGTGCTCTGCCCCATCCTGACAGCCATGCCCACCGGGACCCGGTCCCTGACCATCTGTGTGGCCCGTCCTGACGTTTGTGCCAGGCTGGACGGTTAAAGGCAGAAGACCCCGGCCAGGCCTGTCTGTGTAACTGGGTCAGCGTCCATATGTACATCAGACACCGTGTCTCAGCCACAGAGACCTTCATATGGATGCAGACGACACTTCTGAGTGTTTAAAATGTGCCGCACTTGTGAAGAGTCTTGTCAGGGATGTTGACGTTTAGAGAGTGATGCTTCCATTTTCACCCCAACAGCAGGTCGGTCCCTCTCCACGTTAGGCATGGCATCTGTCCAGAGGAGTGCTGGCTAATGTTTAGGAAAGCTCACGGACTTGGGAAATGCAGACAGTGTGTCTTGATCTTAATTCAGACAGCCCTGAGGTCTGTCTTTACAGATGAGGGTCGAAGCTGTGCCTTTTCTTGCTGACTTCATTAATTCTCTGGATGCTGTGTCCACTGTGCATGGAGAACTTTGTGCCACGCTTCCTCCCACCCTCGGAGTGGGTGGAGCGTCTTTGGGTTCTGTGCTCCCTGGGCCTCAGGATGCCTCAGTGGTTTGGCTGCACCAACATGTGAGGCCAGCCTGGAAAGGGTGGTAGCAAGGCACTGGGTTTAGATAGTGACCTGCAGAGCCCTAATCTGCAGTTGCTGGTTGGTGCTTTGTCAGTTATGTTTGTAGTTTGTTCTGGAAGAGTGAAATGAATGCTGGCTGTCTGCTCCTACTTGGTCATTATTTCTTTAAGGCCATTTTCAAGAAAACTTTAATGAGGAAAGAAAGACTCTTGATGACAGCTTCCATAAATTGTACAGTTGTGTATAAATCACAGCAGAACCTTTAGGGTTTCACATTCTGAATGTCATTCCATTTATTCCTATTTATCACTCATTTCCTCAACATTCGGAGCAGAGATGGGTTCTGGATGGGGGCAGGATGGAATCGGGAGTCTCTGTGGGGCCCTGAGGTAGCCAGAAAGGACCTTCCCTGTGGGAACGGAAGCATGGAGCAGGGGGCAGTGGGGTGGGATGCTCCACCTGAGGAGTACAAAGGCCAGCCAGGGAGGAGCCAGGGGCCAGCATCCCACAGACGTGGCCCTGCTGTGGGGAGGGGGTGCATCAGTCCTGCCCCATGGCCTCTGGACAGACGGACCCTTGGGAGTGATGGTAAACCTTCACTGTGTCCCCTCCCATAGTGTGGGTGAGTGGCCTACTGTCACTGTCACAGTATCCTGGGGGCCCTGGGGGCCTAGGGCCAGTACCAGTACCAGTAACAGGCGCACAACAAGAGCCGCTGGCACCAGGCGTGGGTGAGAAGGTGGCTGAGCTTTCCTCTTCATGACCCACACTCAGCTTCATCTCACAGTGAGTGTGGTCCTAGAACCATCACCCACCTTGTGAGGAGGGCTCCACCCTGGGTGCTGTATTCCCTCCACCTGCCCCATGAGGAGGGGCTCCATCTCCACAGTGAAGACGGTTTGCTTCAGACCAGTGGCCTGGCCCCAGTTGATGTCAGTCCCAGAGGCAGAGAAGCTTAGTCTGCTCCTCTGCGGTGAGGCCCACCTGCAACCTGAGTCCTCTGCTCGTGTCTGAGGGAACCCTGGTGTCCACAGGGGCCAGCTCGGCCCAGGCCTCTGAAGGTCTGCAGGACCCCTCTGACGTCCCTAGTCTTAGAGGTGCTGAACTTTTCAGGAACTGTGGGCAGTTTGTCCAGTCTGTGGGGTGCAGGCAGCCAGGGCTGGGCAGCGGTTGAGACTCTGGGGAGACGTCAAGGGGGCGCTGTGTTTGAGGCCAAGGCAGCCGGGCTAGGATTGAGAGTGGGAGGTGATAGGAAGCTGGGGAGCCCATGTGGTGCCACCCCAGGTGACATGGGACAGGCAGTTACTCGTCAGGGTGTGTGCTGAGATGGGGCTGTTGTCTAGGAAGGGTCTGAGGCTCAGGTCCGCTGAGCAGCTGGCAGGCGGGGCAGAGGGGCTGACGTAGATGCTGCCTTCCTGAGCTGAGCCACCCATGGGCTCAGGCCCCCCACCTGCCTCAGCCCAGAGCCCACAGATTTCCTTTAGGCTCTGTCTGCACACACACGTGGGGTGGCACACCTCTCACGAGGGTAGCTAAGCTTTGTCTGCTGTTTTCACAGATCATAGGGTGCCAAGTGAGAAGGGATCCCCCAGACTCCACCGCACGATACACACGCTGGATCAACCAGCTGGCGCCAGACCAGCTCCTGACACAGGTGATGGCTGTGTGTCCTCGATGCGGGCGGCTGCATGAGTGATGGCGGTGGCTGTTTGTCCCTGTTGTGGGTGGCTGTGCAGGTGATGCCCTCAGGTGTTTGCTCTTGATGCAGGTGGCTGTGGGTGACAGCCGTGGCTGTTTGTCCCGGCTGGAGAAGCTGCTTGTTAGTTCCTGGGCTGGGTGCTGCTGGACACAGCCTGTGTCTCCTCTGTGTCCAGATACCAGTGACTGCACAGTGTGCTAAGGGGCTCGCCTCTTCCCCATGGAGATTCCAGGTTCAGGTGGTGTCCGTTCCCTCTCAGGATGCCAGCGTGGGGTGTGAAGCATGCTTGGAACCCCAGAGGACTTTTAGTCTCCACAGTGTGTCCCTGACATGTTCCATGGAACCTGTGGACATGCGCAGTGTTGACAGCAGGGCGGGCACAGGGTGGACGTGGCCACGGGCAGACTGTGGATGTGGCAATGGACATGGCAGTTGGAGACCAGACGTAGGGGCAGCCAGCACCTGCTGTCTCAGATCTGAGCAGCTGTGGCTGTCATCAGATAGGTGATTGGGTTGTCCCCTGCGGGTATCAGCCCCCCCGTGGGCAGGCAGAAGCAGTCGTTCCCTTGTGAGAAGACAGACCTCCTCGTACAGGCGTTCCTGTCACAGGGCCGTGTGCTGTGCCGTGGTGATGTGCTCCAGGTGGACTCAGGAGCATGCCCATGGCAGACCCTGGGCCCGGCGTTGGCCTCCCCAAGGGCTGCACCTGTGCAGGCGAGGTGGCAGTGCTGCTTCCCGTGTCCCCAGGTGGTTCTGAGCTAGCAGGAGCCGTGTGTCCATCTCTAGGCGGCTGGGGTCGGGTCGGTGCTTCACCTTGCCAAGGATGAGTGACCCAGCGTGGGCTTAGAATCATTCCCTGGTGGTTAGGTTTTATGTCTACAGAAAATTTTGTATTTTGATGTTTTTTAATGAAAACAAATGAATTTCCCTTTATTAGTTACATAGCTATATCCATTTAAAACAACTTAAAAGTAACTATCATGTTTGTAAAAATTATGCTTGACTATTTTAGGAACAAGTCTGAGTAATATAAAGAGTTACAAAAAAAAGAGTACCTCATTGTAGCTTTAATTTTCACTTCCCTATTGATTAATGGGCTTTTATGGGCTATTTTGCTACTTATTTCTCTTTGGTAAAGTGTCTATTCAAAGCCCTTTGTCCATTATGTTGTTGTACGTATTCTTATTTTTGAATTTTTAGCATTTATGTATTATGGATACAAACCCTTTATCAGATACAGACTTTGAAAATACTTTTCTGCATCTGTGGCTTGTCATTTTGCTCTTTCATTAATAATCTTTCAAAGAGAAGTTTTAATTTTTAGAAATTCAACTTATCAGTATTCCTTTTATGGGTTATGCTTTTGGTATTGAATCTAAGAAACCTTTGGCTAATCAAGTTCATAACATTTTCTCTTATGTTTTCCCCTTAAAATTGTGTTTTAGGTTTTTTATGTATATCTGTTTTTGTTTCTTAGTTAATTTTGGTGCAAGGCCCAAGTTGTCTTACTAGACTCAGGTTGTCATAACAAAATACCACACACGGTGGCTTAAACAAGAGCAGTTTGTCAGTTCTGGAGGCTGGGAAGTCCATGACCAGGGCCTGGAGGGCCTTTCTTCCTGCCCAGTACCCCTTCTGTGCCTGCAGACGGCCACTTCCTCCCTGTGTCGTCATATGCAGAGCAGGGTCAGGGACAGAGCCCACCGTGAGGGTCCACCATAATGCCCTTGTCTGAATCTGGTCAGCTCCCAAAGGCCCGCCTCAGATGCCTTCAAATCAGGGATTAGGGCTTCAACAGAAGAATTGGGGAGGGGACAATTTCATGTTTTGCATATGGATTTCCAGTTGATACAACCATTGGTGAAAAGACGAGCCTCTCTCCCAGCACAGTCAGCGCCCAGAGCTGCGTTGGTTTATCTAGACTCTCTTTTCTCCTGTTGACATTTAGAAACTTTTTTGATTACTGTTTTTTATTGTAATTCTTGTAGTTAGCGTTAGCTGTCCAAGCTTGCTCTTCTTTGTCCTTTGTATTTCCATACAGATGTGAAATCAACTTATAATTTTCTACAAAAAAATAAAATGTAGGATGTATCTGGAAAAAAAGTAGGGAGTTGATGATGGGGCCAAGGGGAAGCAGGTAAGGGAGTCCAGCAGGAGGGGACAGGGCAAGCTTGGCCAGGCCTCAGCATCTCAGGAGGGGTGGTTTCTGTGCCTTGTGGATTGTGATGTCGCCACAGAACTGTCATCTTCAACACTGTGGGAGGGCAAAGACTCTTCCTCATCCCTTGGGTACAGAAACCAGCTATTTTTGACTGCTCTCAAGCACACAGTGTGCCGGTTATCACAGCAGCAGAGGGCAGAGCGTGGCGTCTCACTGCCCTCTTCCGGCTCATGAGTAGCAGCTCCTCTGTCTTCATGGGCACCAGGGAGGGCCCCGGTGAGTGTGTGCCACCATCTGTCACCCAGGTGTCATCACTCAGCGGTGGCTTGCTTTGGTGCTGGAGAGCTGCTCACCAGTGAGTGATGGCCTTGCCAAGCCACCGTCAGCTTCTGGCACATCCTGGATGATGCGTCCTGGGCACAGCTGACCTTTGGGAAGGGTTCACAGGAGCATGGAAGCCAAACCAGACCAGCCAGAAGCAGGAAGGGCCAAATTGTGGTAAAAAGGTGAGCCGCAGAAGAGGGCAGCTGTCATCTCCACTGAGGGCACCTCAAGGGCACCCAAGCTGAGCACCGACTCCCTCTCCACCGTGTCCTGACTGAGCCGTGCAGGCCAGAAGCCACCAGGACACTGCATCCCAGCTCCTGAGCTAGGGGACATCGCCTGCCTGCTGGTGGGGCCCCTGTCTCCTGCTGCCCCAGAGAGGCTGTCCTCCCTACACCTCCAACAGCACCCTGCTACCACCCCAAGTACATAAGATGTCACTGGGAAACGTCACAATTGGCTCGAAGTGGAGGAAATAAAAGTAAATCATTTTGGATCTCTAAAAAGTCTTGTGGCTACAAGCGGAAGAACATAGATGTACCCATATTTTCACTGTATACAAAAAATTAAAGTGAATCCAAGGACCTAAACCTAACACTAAAAGCTATAATACTCTTAGAACAAAAGAGAGTAAACACAACATGCATGTGGCAGTGATTTCTTGACTATGACCCAAGAGCATAAGCAACAAAAGAAAAAAATTAATTAGACTACATCAACATTTAAAACTTCTGTGCATCCAAGAACACAGTCAATGGAGTGAAAAGGCAGTCCACACAATGGGAGAAAATATTTGTAAATCCTACAGTAAAACCTTGGTGTTTGGGAGCATAATTCATTCCAGAAATATCTTTGTAATATAAAGCACTTGTATATTAAAGACAATTTCCCCAGAAGAAATAATGGAAACTCGGATGATTCATTACGTAGCCCAACAATATTCATATAAAATGATTACAGTAGGTAATGTAATACAAAATAATAAAATACAAAGTATCAAGAAAAATAAATTAACCTGCATTTACCTTTGAAAATTTTCCTGGCTGGTGTGAGGGATATGAGAGGAGGGTTATTGTGTAGGATAACTTTTACTGTCAGTAACAGAATTGTTGCTATCTGTTGGGTCAATGAAATCTTTTTCTTAAGGTCTGTTGTCCGTCACGCCCACCTCCACCTGGGATTGAACTCAGGTCCTTGAGCTTGCTTGCCACGCAGGCGTGGCACCACTGAGCTACATCCTAGGCCCAAAATACTTTTCTTTTTGTGCAACTTTAACAAGAAACCTATCCAGTGATACTTGCTTCTGCCTTCTTGTGAGCATTCAGAAATGTGACATTGCATTGCTGTTAAACAGATTAACCAGTCATAGTTACAGCCTTATTTGGGTGTAACTTTTGCTTTGTTTTTTTTTTTTGCTTTTCTACAAAATTTTGCCCTTTTCCCATGTCTTTCTGATCTCATTTGAAGTGAAGGATTCCTCCATCTTTTTCTCCTCCTCCTCCGCAGATGAGATCTCCTCCATAACCTCTTGCTGTTGGGGAAATGATCACCCACAATCCCGCAGTGAGAGAGAGAACCATTGGGTCAGTTGTGATCATTTGACATTCAGTGTCACTACTCACATTGCAAGACATTGCTTGCTTATCAAGTCACAATTTGTTAGAAATGTTTGCTTATCTTGTGGAACACTCATGGAACAAGTTAACTTGCAGTCCAAGGTTTTGATGTACAGCTGATAAGGGATTAATGTCCGGAACTGCAATACTATTCTCTAAAGAAGGCACACTGGTGGCCAATAGGTTCATAAGAAGTTGCTCAGCATCGATAATCAGTAGGAAAATGCAAAGCAAAGCTACAGTGAGATGGTGCCTCACACCTATTAGAATGGTGACTACTAATCAACCAGTCAGTAAACAAGAGCTGGCAAAGAGGCACAAAAATGAGAATGCACATTCACTGTCTCCAGGGATGTAAAATGGTGCAGCCTCGATGAGAAACCCTGTGTTGGTGCCTCAAAAAGTTAAAAATAGGGTTACTGTATGCTCTAGCAGTTCCCCTGAGGAATTGAAAGAAGGGTCTGGAAGAGGTTTATGCACCCATTTTGATATCCGCATTATTCACGATAGCTAAAAGGTAGAAGCCACCAAAAGGTCCTTCAGCAGATGAGTGGACAAGCAGAATGTGGTATGTGCATGTGAACCTGGGTAACTTACACAGAGAAGAGGTTTGTTTCGGAGGCTGATCGTCTCAGTATTGGCTCTGGTGAGGCCCCTGGTTGTGTCACATCATGATGGGATGGCATCCAGCAGGGATGCAAGACAGGAAGACAGAGTGGGGAGGGGTCAGGATTGCTTTTTATAAGACCCTTTCATGAGAACTAACCAGGTCTCATGAGAACCACACCGGATGCTCCCCTGAAGGTCCCACCAGCTCTCACCATCACCACACTGGGGACCAAGAGCTGACACCT